ATTGACCTGAGTAGAATGCTCAAGGACATTTATATCATGATACAGAAAAGCAAAGGTATTGCCATGTTTCATACTATACTTCATCTGTCTTATCTCTCTAAGCCTGTACAAGAAATTTTTACAAAGTTAACAAAAATTGAGCTTTTCTGCCAGCACCAAAGCATAAACTGAACTATTAGGGTAAAATCAACGATGTTGAACTCTAGATCATTAAGTTATAATACCTGACATAAGCAGCCAAAGCCCATCCAAGGGCAAGAGCCAAGCAAATAAAAAATCCCTGCAGCAATAAAGGACTCAGATATACATATGAAGATATTACTATGGGTAGACATGAATAAATCGAAGAACGCTAATAATGTTCACTCTTCTGGAAATAACATAGAAGAAGGAAAAAAAAAGAGATAGTAAGATATCGTGCTATAATAATTAATATTCAATATCCCAAATAATTAATAAGATTTCCTCGGAACCAACACTGTTTCACGTATCAAAGTCAATAATTCTAAATAGATAATATCAATTAGAGGAGAATCATTAATAATATTGTTTAGTAGAATGGTTTTTTCATATATTTAATGCATCTATTTAATAATTTTACCGAACATCTGTATATGGCCACATTATCTTATGATAAAACAATATATGTATCACACAGTTATAAACAGATATTTGTGGAATTACAGATGAAAGTATACTGTATGATTAGATTGAAATAGTACTAGTTTAATATAGGATACGTGTGGATTCTGGGACAACTTGATTTTTCCTTCAGTTGTAAAACAACTGTCCTTTTGTTTTCACAAATTATTGGCCAATTATTAAATGAGAAGGCTAATTATGAAACCTTGTCTTTACTTTCGGCATAGTCCCTCTATTGTCTTTCAAAAATTTTGTTAGAACAAGGACTCGTAATTAAAAAAAAAATCTATCTAATTCTTCCTAAAGTATTCAACTTTTCCTTCTCTTTATCTTTTTTCGGCCAATTCTAGTTAAGATTCGTAATGACAAAGTGATTCTACGGAATGCAAAGGGGGATGAATGCTCGTTGGGTCACAAAGTGATTCAAATTAACAAAGCAGCCACTATAGAATGACCAACCAAGTAACACTCAATGAAAACTTTGAATTTCTAGCATTTGACCATCCTTACCTATCCAAATTTCTTATTGCTCATTTATCATAATAAAAATCCAAGGGATAATCTCCCTCACAAACAATGCAATGTTTCATGTATCAGAACTCCTGAGATCCAAACCAACTGCCATTGTAACTCAAAAATCTTTAACGTGAAATTCAAATCACACAAGAATTTGGAGAAAAATGAATTAAAAATTCAAACTAAACCTGGGGGAAAGAAAGTTAAATTGCACTGTTGCCACTTAATTTGAATTATCAGTAACATTCAAATCCAAAAAAATGCAGTCGCATTCTCCCTAACACAAAAATATTTAAGAATTCCCAAGCTAAATTAATAATCCTCAGACGACAGATCCGAAACGTACTAAAAGCAAAGGTGCTCCTTTTTGCTCCATAAGAAAGCAAAAGCATAAAAAAAATCAAAAAAGGCAAAATAAATAAATAAAATAAGCTTTCTCACTTTTTGAAGAGAGAATCCGAAATGAATTGTACCTGGATCTGAATAAAAATTGCGAGGGGACTACAACAAGCTCTGCTAGCAGCCAATAAAAACGCGTCCAATGAATCAAACGATGACATTCTTCCTACAATGCGTGTACCAGGATGAACTATCAATGTCTAATTCTTTCTTAACAGTACATATGAGAGCAAGGTTCCAGGGCAAAACAATGCTGCAAAATTCCAGGCCAATGGATACACACAAAGATAAAAATATTTTTCTCCCTCCACTCTCTCTCTCTCCCTTTCTCTCTCTCTCTTTCAGATCGCCGTTGATGGACTAGTGGAAGGTAGAGAGAGAAAAACAGTGGAGAGAAAAAGAGGGATTACGTGAGAGACTGCGCAAATTTATATTTGGAAGTGTGGTGAATTTTTGAGAGAGAAACTCTGTTATTTTTTTTTTTTTCTTTTTAAAATTTAAATTTTTTTGGGAGACAGCGAGGAGAGGGAGAGACCGTTAATTAATGATTAGAGCTCGGAGCCACGTGTGAGGTGGCACGTGTGGAGTGGTGGGGCTGACCATTTTTTGAGGAAGAAGCTTTATCGTTATTCGAATTTTTTTTATATATATAAATTTAAAAATATATAATTATTTTATTAAGTATTTTATTTATAATAGCAATAAGGCCCAGTTTGATAGAATGAGTTTTTTATGGAAAATGGAAAACTTTTTGCTATTTTCCACTTTTTAGAATGTTTGATAGGAAATATTTTTCGGGTAATTAATTTTCCATATTTTCTTAGTTTGCCACATTTTCTTATTTTTTGAGGTAAATCAATTCTTACAACTTTGATGAGAATTCGTTTTCTAGGCAACTTCTTTTTTTTTTTCAATGAAAACAAATTATATCCACAATAGTAACA